GTCCAGCTTCTATCTTGGCCCTCCTCTGCCCTAACACTCGGCACCACCTCTAAAACCCGCCCAGTGCCAGAAAAGTCGGTGTGTCTTGAACAAAACATCTCCCTAAAGACTCCTCTAGGGGGGGAGCCCTTGTAGCGGACAAGCGATAACCGTAGGAGTGTCTGCCATGCCAAAACGCGTGGCAGTGATGCAACGCCGTGTGACACACGCAGTGGCGCGTTCCAGACACCGATCATGAGGCCTGCCCGAATGACGAAACTGGCTGGGATCACGGTGGCAGCAAAATGTATTTTTAGCAGCTCTTTTTTTTTTTGTTAATAGTGGTGATAAAGATTTGTCTGTTTTTAAACCGGCAAACGTCTTTCTGTAGCCACAAGTTCATGGCAAACCTTTTGGAAACACTGAAAACATTCTGTCAGAAAAATTTGGCAAAATTTTCTAGTCGATTTGAACCCAAACATCCAGAGATTGTCAAATCATCGCCAAGAATCGAGCACACCAGAAAAACTGCTGCCTTACACAGAAGTGGCTACACAACTGTATGCTGCTACAATATCCATTACTATCGAAACTGGAAGTGCTGGCTATCGACCCCATTGTCCCAGAGTTCTTTGTCGTTAACTTTTGCTCTACATGACCCTAGATGTGGTGCCCTGAAATACAGAGCCACCAATGCCCCTTACTGATATTCAGTAAAAGGCATTGGTGACAGTGTATTTAAAAAGATTTCTAGTCTGTCGAAACCATCAGAAGCGGGCAGCAGAGCCACTGCTTTTAACTCCTGTGCTTGACAATTCGTGGGACACCATCCGCATCAATCTCTTCACATTGGAAGGAAGCACCTACATAGTAGTAATGTGGTAATTTCAGCTAGTTTCACTACATAGCAATGATAGACTACTACTCCAGATTCCTTGAGTTGGAGCAGCTAAAACGCATAACGACAAAGGACATCGCTTGTGTCCTGGAACCACCCTTCGCATACTTCGGAGTACCAAGAGCAAGCCGCAGAAACGACTGTCCACAGGTTCCTTCCGCAGATTTCAAACAATTTGTGCAATGATGGGCAGCAAACCACATGACTTCAAGCCCGCACTATGCTCAGAGTAACGGCATGGCGAAGCATGCTGTCCGGACAGCGAAACAGCTCCTGAAGAAGTCTACATACATAAACCTGGCGCTCTTTTCGTACAAAGCAACACCAGCGGTCGAACGATTCTCACGCAGCGAGCTGCTCATGAGCCATCTCCTGAACATGATGGTGGCAGCCATTTCCAAGGTGCTCGCACCAGAATGGGACGACAGCAATTTCAGACAGAAGAATGAGACGTATTGAGCACAGGTTAAATGCACCTACAATGTTTGTCGCAGGATGTGCAGCCTTGAATGTCTACCTCAAAAAAAAAGGCATTGTGCATTCTGACTTGTGCGGCATCCTATGAAACTGACACACAGGCTGCGACTGAACCAAGGTCTTGCATAAGAGACATCAACAGGACTGACTCGAAGCACAGGAAAACATGTGCAGCCGGCAGCAATCCCAAGAAGTACATGTTTGCATAGACCGATTAGATCTGTAGTCTGTAGCCACAATAGTTTCCCACTTATTACGATTAGAGGGGGTGTCATCGGATATACATGCTTCTCACGGATGCCACAGTTGGTGCTTATGGGATGGATATGTAAGCGCCATTACCAGGTACTGACATGGTTTCAGTTTCGGAATCGGCGCTGGTAAATTTGGCCGCTGCTGCGCTGGCTGCGTCGCTACAGCATTTGCGGCACACACAGGGCACATTTTTTTCTTCCGGTGTAGGGTCGCAGTCGCTGTGGTACAGTCGTGACGATGTGCGCGATGTTCGGCTGCCGAAGCGTCCTCTTCACTGCAGAGTAACACACAGCCATATGTAGGGCTGCACCATTTGCCAAAGGTGACAACGCGACAGTGTACACTCTAAAAAAAAAAGGGAGGAGAAAGGGAGGAAAACAACGATGTTCCTCCCTGTCGCCAACGGAAGGGAGGAAATTGCCCTTGTTCCTCCCTTTCACCGATCCACATGCAGCGCTACCTAGTGGCGCTTGAAAAAGGGACGAAAATTAATCCTCTATATTCGTGGCGGCAGCGGCGGTCGAACCGCCGCTGCCACCGCAGACATGTTTAATGGCGGTGACGGCAACTTGAGTGCTTGGTAGCTTGGTTGCCGTCACCTCCGCGAGAAACGTATACTCTTGAAATAAAGCGTACGTACCATACAGCGAAAGCTAATCCGTGAGGTGTTTATTTCAGTTCTGTATAAAACAGAACAGCATACGAGCACTGCGTTGCGGCGAGCGACTCCGTCCGACACACGCTGTAGTCCGTCCACATCAGAAAAACGACCGGCTTGCGGGAACACGCGTTTTTCAAAGACCATATCCCCGCACAAGAAACGACACTGCAATGAAGATTCGGGGAAGGGACGAGGCAACGGATCCGGAAAGCAAGGTCAACTATGCACTCGGGAAGAGTCCACTTGGAAGAAAGGGTAGTACAGACATTCCATTCTCGTTGCGGGGCAAAGTGGAGGCGGAGGGCAGATCCGCGGGCTTGAAGAAACGCGTAATCCGAGAGAGCCCACGGTTCACCGCTGCTTCTTTTTAGTTTGCGCTGCGCCTCCATCTCCTGCTACATGTCAAAACTCGCACTAAAAAAAGAAAAGAAAAACTCCGTTTTTTACGTTTTTTTTATTTTTATTCGGCTGACTTAGTCTATTATCACGCGATCCCTTTTGTGTCGCAAAACGAGCGCAGCTAACCCGGCGCCAACAACCTGGATCTCAAACTCGTCGCAAACGTACTGGACATACTTATAAAGGAAGCAAACATGAACATAAACACTCGATAATAAATTTAAATACTATTTAGATAGAGACATGAATAGAAGTTTACTAACAATTGCTTTACAAACGTCTATTTTAGCTTTAGTGTCCGAAAGAGTTCCGTTGCGTTATACCGAAATGAGTTGCTGGGCGAGTTGGATAGACATCTTGACTTAAACAGCGCAAATAAGTTACGTAAGGAAGAGACAACAGGAAGGAAAGAGCGTTGCGTTAGCTTTCGGAACGCTATATTCTGCACGGGGCTGCAAACGCTCTACTAGAACACTAAAACGCGGCTCCGCTACGGTATATATAGCGGAAGCCATAACGGATTGCGTATGGAGTTGCGGGAGTGACTAAACGATCTATTAAAACTCTCAACACGGGCTTTTTAACTTTTTGACTCGGGCAATGTGATGTTTTCAAGCGGTTGCATTATATCAGCAAAGACAGTCTTATTTTAGTTGTCTGCTGAGGATACCAAAGTCATGGTTCGTGGGCCTTTATCACGCCCGGCACTTACTTTTTATAGGAAAAACGCTCCAGATTAGTAAATTAAAACAATTCTAAATTTCTGTAACACCGGTGACAAAGCATGAACCAAAATAACTTCTCTGCTGTTTCAAGAAGTCTTGTTAAAATCAGTAATCTTGTTTGTTTGAAAATCCGTTGAACTTGTGCAACATTTAAAATGATTAATTACCCCACCAGAACTGAAAATAATTACACTGGCACTGAACACCGCAATCAAGCAATAGCTTGATTGCGATGTTTAGCACAGTGTAGTGCATTTTAGCACTGCATTGTCAAGATAATTCATCAAACTTATTGAGAAGAAAATTATAAAATTTTAGTTAATTAGCCTAATGATCTACATTTGCTTTGCTCGGGGTGTTGAATTAAGAGATGGGGGCTATTCCACAAGACAATTCATAAAATGTATAAAGTTAGAGTAATATTTACTCCACCCTTCCGCGTTTATGTGCCAAATGATAGCAGTCACCGAAAAAGTCGGATTCAAAAATAAGACTGCCATATATAGAGCTAGTGCGAACTTGGCGTACGTAGAGAGACGAGGGGGCCCAGTGTTGCTGCGTTGTTGCTGTTGTGTGCGTGGTTGATCTCTGTGTGTCCGTGTATTCTGTATGTTCAGTAATGTATGTGCATCTCTACCATGTAGCGTTCGAAAGTCGGCAAAGCCTAAAAAAAGAAAAAAAAAAAAAACCTCTCCGAATTTTTTTTTTTGCCGTTTTGAGCGCCATCCGTTGAAAGCTATATCACTTCAGTAGTGTTGACGATTGGGCTAGTTGGTCATTCATATTAGCGGAAAACAAACAGCGCAAGGCCAAGGACAGAGTAGAAGGCGGTAGACACACACAGCGTTGTGTGTCTACCGCCTTCTACTCTGTCCTTGGCCTTGCGCTGTTTGTTTTCCGCTATATCACTTACACGAGGGGAGGAAGTTTCCTCCAGTGAGAGAAAAAAAGGTGGCAATTTTCCTCCCTTTATAGGGGAGCAAATTTCCTCCCCGTTTTGTAGGAGGAAATTTCCTCCCTTTATAGAGCAATATAAGGGACACGCGAGTTCCTCCTGTAAGGGAGGAAGTACTACTCCCTTTTTTTTAGAGTGTAAGCGTACAAAGCTGCTGTCCGAGAAACACCGAAGGCTCCGGCTTCCTCGCACACATCGGAAGGACCTTAAAAACCTGAACAATGTCCGTGTCGGCGATCGTCACTTCATTACCGGTAAGAAATACGTTGCTAAACTTTACGTGGATTGCTGGATGCCTCTGTTCACACCCTGTGGGCATTGCCATAGCGGCCGAGGCAGTGTTTGATGTCTGGTAGTGTCACGCTGCAGGGATTTGCTTTTACCTTTCTCACAGCATTTCTGTAATAGTATAGTGTTTGTAGCACACTTGTGTTGATGGTGTTGCGGCAGCGGCGCCAGGTTTACTCAGCTAAAATGCTGTCAATTCTAATGCGGCAGGTATGGGCGCCTCTCTTCGTTTGCAGGCAAACCGTTGGCTCTTCGACTCTCATTAACATGCTTGTTTTATTGCCTGCCAACTCGCCTCGCTCAGCACGACAATATGTTTCGATGGGCGGCACATCGCTGCCAGGGTCTTCACCCATCCACTCGTCAAATAGTTATGGGCATCCAGGCAGTGAAGGCCTTTATCTGTTGCAGCGACACATAGTTTGTAAACAGAAACAGGTAGGTAATTATGTCCACATGCGTCGTGGCTGGCACCACGTACGCATCTGGAGTGCTGTCCTTGCCGACACATAGTGTGTACGGATCGATGCCGTCACACATCTCCTCTTCAGGCTCGCCCTGAGCCCGTGTGGGGCTCACAAGCTCTTCGAAATAGCAAGAACAGAACTCATGGTGAATGGCTTTCGTCATCGCGCTGTACGGGTGATACAAATTCCGTAGCGATGCCGCAATCTAGCAGCGCACATGCGGCAGCGGCAGCGTCCTTGTCTGCTTCACAGTGTCTGGCAATGGCGGCCAGCGGGCAGGAGTAAAGGAAGTGACGTCACATGAGAACTATGTATAGGAGGACTGGCCATTAAGCGCACCGCCACGCCGCAGCAAGCAACAGCTGAGGTGCGATAGGCCTAGGAGAATGCGGATATAACAAAATAACTACCAGTATAGTCGCCCTAAAGATTGCTTCCTGTCCGTTACCAATTATCCTCAAATAGATTAAGGGCAGACAACATCTCAACATGTCGGTACACTGTGGTGGTGATTGTTCTCACCCACCGCTTTCCTGAAAGGTAGTATTAGTGGAAAGTTTCTCCTGCTTTGAACATATGCCGCCAGCAGTGAACCCAGTCAGGTTTCAGATGACATCTAGTTTGTGTTGCTATTGCTAATATGCGTTCTTTGGTTCAATATATGACAGAAACTATACAAAAGGCATGCAGTCATCCTGTAAGAGCTTAATTTCCGCTATCTTAGTAGATGGAAGGGCCCCAAAAGCAAAATTTGTTGTCGAAGCCTTATATATGCACTGACATTTCAGCGGAACGAGATTCAGCTTTAAAATTCAGTATTCGACTATATAGCGTCATGATTAAGACTCACCATTCTCGTCCACCTGGCCATCAGCTGCTGCTGCAAGATGTTTTTCATATGAAGCAGAGGCGGCAACGTCTCTCATCACGTGCATTGCGCGCACTAGCGCAGCCGCACTCAACCGCGGACTGGCGGCCTGCGTTCCCTCCGTGCCCGTGTTACCCCGAGGGCTTATGGCGGCCTGCCTTGGCCGCATTTTCGGCAGGTGCCTGAATTCTCTGGCCAAATCGGAAATCTCCTGAAGAAAATTTTCTTTTTTCGCGTATTGCTCCTCGGTCCCCGACCTAGGTTTCGAGGAAATCAAAAGAAGAGTAAATGGCTGTTCAATTTTCCTTCCGATTTCAAAAAAAAAAAAGAATTATAACTAAGTTGCGCAGATTCGTGCGGTCTTGACGGAAAAACTGGGCTACCAAGAGATCGCATCGATCCCGGACGGCGCGGACGGTAAACGCGTTGCCGGCTGCTTCATTTAGTTTTCTTGTAACCGCGCCCTAGCGCGCTTAGTCAGCAAAGGGATTGATGTCCTGAACTGCACTGAGAAGTAGGAGGTCATCTTCGATAGAAAACCGCCTCCTTGAAGCGGGCAGCGGCGGAGAGAGGTTGTCTACGTCGTCCATGTTGTCCAACTTCGGGCAACCTTATGGCGGCTATGCTTCGTTTCAGCTACCGTCCGTGCGCAGCCAAAGGCTGAGGGACGGTTTGCAACTTCGAGAAGAGCATTCCTACGCACCACAAAGTAGTCCGCAAAAGTAATACTTTTTAAAATAACTGTTTTGTACGTAAACATTGCACAATATTTCAGATTTGTACTGCAGAGAATGATTTGCAACTCAAAGAATCAGATATATGAAGTTTATGATTTTATTAATATATGGAAATGCATGTTGTTCGCTGAAAACACGCACATCCTCTGGCAACACGGCTGCAGCGCTCGGTTTTTCTGAGTAATTTCGTTCCCGAAATGGCCGAATCATGTGCTTCGTTGCTTTCCTCATCGGGTCGCTTCAAAACGTCCTTTCACAAATGCACGTTTGGCCGTCATGCGCGAGAGGTCGTGATGAATATCTACTTTCAAATTCGGCAGGAGACTCCGGCCGCGTCGTACCGCGAATGCGCTGTAAGCAAGAAATGCGTCCGACCCACTACAATTCACTAATACGCGGCGAAATCAGGGCACCCCTTTACCTGCCAATCGCATTGAACGCCGAGAAGCTGGTGGAAAGGACCGCGCCTCGATCCCTGATATATCCAGACAATAGAACGAAACAGGCCGGGTCATCGGGCACCTTGCAATGTGTACTTACATCTCGAAACTGTATGCCGAAAAGGTGGAAAACTCGGACATAGACGCGAGCGGCCAGCCTACGTACTGACATCCCCTGTGACTAAATTTCAGGAGGTGAAAAGGCACTTTTTCAACCTGTAGCAGACGATACCGTTGATACAACCGTAGCAGACGAAATACTCGGCGAGCGCGGGCGGCGCGGACGACCAGCGGCGCACCGGAGTGATACAAAGGACCAGGCGAGATCGCGTGACCTATTGCCGGCGTCTGATTGGCTCCGGCCACAGGTAGCTTTGGCTGCGCTCGGACGGAAGCTGAAACGAAGTATAGCTCTCTTTCATTTCGATGCTGGTGCCACCGGCTCACCCCCGGCGAAATCAGTGTTTTTAGAGCGATTTCGGCTCGCGGCTTTTGTGTTTTCTCCGAGATATAAGCTTCCTTTTTTGTTGAACTTCTACTACTGGCTATGTGCTTCCATTGCTTCACATCTTGAGTGGACACGCCAGTTTGGTTGAGTCTTCAGAGGCGTGTGCTCGGATCATTCGGTTAAAGGTTGTGTACAGTCTTTCGCGAAACAAGCTTGCGTGCAGTAAATTTGAACTGGGAAACGGACACTTTTGGTCCTTTTCCTCGTTCAGCTGACGGGGGAGCGAGGCGTTAGGCGCAAAATAGTGCGCGTTTCTTTGGAACGCCCAACTCGCGCTATGTAACAAAATTGCGAAGCCGCAATCTCGCGTTGTCAACAAAAAGGACAGGTTGTGCAGTGAATATAACACTGTCGGGAACCCTTCCCTTATGTAGTATAACCTACAGCTAATATCACTATTACTTGTGTCTTTACAGTAACTGCCTTTACACCCAAGTGACGACGAGATGAACGCCACTTCAAATTCTTCTTCAAATAATAATGATGTTATTGATGACTTCAATAACATCATTATACGTTCTTTGCATACGGGCTGGAAAAAGTAAATTCCAAAGGCTTAATTTAGTCATTGTGTACTGCACTCTGATAGTAATAAAGTGGCATGCTTTTTGTTTTCGACTGTATTTTGATGCGAGTGTGAAATTTACACACAACTTTGCGACTTCGACTATTTCCTCTAACGCACTGTTGTATCATGAGATGGATGTAGTTATAAATACGTAAAGCTAAAAAGGAATGTATCTAACACATTCAACCACTCAAATATTGAAACAGTTCATGATATCAGGTTTTTTTAGAAACATCATTTTTTATAAACACGAAATACTTCTGGAATGCATAGATAAAAAACTTTTCTCTAATGTGGCTGGCAGAAGTGCAGATTCCCACACTCCTGCCTGCACTTTTTTTTTAATGTTCGTAACTTTTTGGCGAAGTTCTTATTTTCTTTTTTTACGAGGATCTGAATCCTTGTATCGAGATTGCATCCTTGATACGTACTACCTTCAAAAGCGAGGAACGTGGGAGCCAGACAGTCAAGTTTAAAAGCAAAGCAGAGCTATACAACTTTTCACAAGGACGCGATCATCTTGAATGCCGTCACTTCTGGTATGCGGTAAAACATGGAAGGTGTTACGAAGCGGTAAAACATGGAAGCGGTAAAACATGGAAGGTGTTTACGAAGAATGCTACTGAAAAAAAAAGAATCTATATAATAACTGATATGAAATATCCAAAATCTGATATGTGACATATGAAACTGACATGAAATTCCCAAAAACTGACATGCGGTATATGAAGTTCAAAACATGCCAACTGATATGCAGCATGAAAGTTCATATATGATTTAAATGATAACATCTCTATTGAAAAACCTAATTTGTATGAGAAATTTGTGTGCACAATAAACACATATGAATCATACAAGATATATAAGAACATATAGAACCATATGAGAACCATATAAAAACTATGTAAGAACTATATAAGATGTATAAAAAGCACATAAAAAAGTGAAAGCCATTTACCACTCCCTGTAACGCGGAACTGGAGCGCAGCTCTTGAGGAGGAGGAGGGAAGGATACTGAGGGCAACGGTTTCTGGGGGGGGGGTCACGTGACATAGGGGAAAGGGTCACGTGGAAAGGGTCACCTTGTTGGGGTCACGTGACCTCGGGGGAGGGGGGTCCACGTGGAGGGGGGAGCCACGTGCCCCCCCCTCCGAGGTCACGTGACATGGGGTGTCACATGACCTCGATGGAGGGGTCACGTGACTCTCCAGGTCACGTGACCGAAATTTTTCCGCTAGATATAGCGGGGAAATTTTTCCGCTGAATTTAGCGGGGAAATTTTTTTGCTAGATTTAGCGGGGAAGTTTTTCCGCTAGATTTAGCAGGGAAATTTTTTCCGCTAGATTTAGCGGGGAAATTTTTCGCTAGATTTAGCGGGGGTTTTTCCGCTAGATTTAGCGGGGAAATTTTTCCGCTAGATTTAGCGGGGAAATTTTTTCCGCTACATTTAGCGGGGAAATTTTTACGCTAGATTTAGTGGTGAAATTTTTACGCTAGATTTAGCGGGGAAATTTTTCCGCTACAGCTAGATTTAGCGGGAAGTGTTTCCGCTAGAGAAATATGTTTCCGTAGATTTAGCGGGGAAACTTTTCCGCTAGATTTAGCGGGGAAATTTTTCCGCTAGATTTAGCAGGAACATTTTTCCGTTAGATACAAAACCCTAGTTCGCTCGAGCTTTGAGCGAACTAGGGTTTTGTATAAAATTAGTTTGAGGGACATAGGGACTGAAGAGAAGTTTCTTTTGAGATACCCAAGCATAGAGTTAGTATTAGCGATAATGTGATCACTATGAGCTTTCCATGATATGTTAGAAGTAATATGTACGCCAAGATATTTATAAGAAGACACAAACTGCAGAGGAGTGTTACAAATTGAGTATGACGATGGGGTCTTGATACCACGAGACACACTCATAGCTTTACATTTATTAGTATTAAGAGACATCTGCCAAAGGTTACACCAGTCGGATACCACGCATATGTCATCTTGAAGAAGTGCGGTATCAGAATCGTTAGTAATTTCACGGTAGACTACACAGTCGTCGGCGAATAAACAAATGGATGATGATACACACATGGGTAGGTCATTTATATAAACAAGAAACAAAAGGGGCCCTATAACGGACCCTTGAGGAACACCAGATATAACGGGACTGAGAGAGGACTTAGCTTCATTAATAGTAACAAATTGAGAACGATCAGTTAAAAAACATATAATCCATGACAAAACATTCGGGTCTATCTTAAGTTTACTAAGTTTATAAAATAGGAGTTTGTGAGAAACTTTATCGAACGCTTTGCAAAAGTCGAGGAAGACGCAGTCAACCCGGGATCCACTGTCAAGAATGGAAAGAAGGTCATTAGTGAAAGTTAGAAGTTGAGTTTCACAGGACAGTGATTTGCGGAAGCCATGTTGTGGAGGCGAAAAAAAAGAATTCGAATCTAAGAAATTCACCAGATGAGAGTAAATGATGTGCTCTAAAAGTTCACAGGCCGTGCTGGTTAAGGAAATGGGTCGATAGTTAAGAGGACTATGTTTGTCACCTGTCTTGTGAAGCGGAACCACCTTCCCTGTTTTCTAGTCACTTGGCAAGACGCCAAGGCTAAGGGATTGTTCAAAAATTTTAACAGGATAAACGGAAATGTAAATTTTAGTATGCTTCATAAATTTAGGGGTAATACTGTCAATGCCACAAGAAGAAGATATTTTCAAATTGTCGATAAGTTTAACAATTCCGTCATAATCAAGTATAGGAGGATCCATGGGGAAAAAATCATATTCTGGATACATAGGAAAACATGAGCCAACGTCACTGGAGAATGCCTTAACAAACATATCATTTAAAACAAAGGCACACTGCTCTCTCGGAATGTCGACGCCACCAACCACAGTAAGCGTAATATCAGTCCTCTTTGGTCCGTTTACGACACTCCAAAATTCTTTAATACTATTGGATAGCATAGAAGGTAGAGTTACATTAAAAAAAGATTCTCTTGGCTTCATTGGTGGCTGCCTATAAGCATTTGCGGCTGTTTTATAAGCTACCCAATTCTTATCACAACCAGACGATTTCGCAGTGCGGAAAAGGCGTTTTTCTTGTTAGAAAGACGTTTAAGTTTGACGTTAATCCAAGGTGACGATACGTTAGAAACAATGAACCTGCATGGAATGAAAGAGATAATTAAAGAGTTTATCTTGTCCTTAAACAAATTCCAGTTAACTTCAACCGAACGTTCAGAAAAATCGAGTAGGTACTCATCAAGGAAGCCCGCTAACTCATTATTTATCGCTTCAAAATTTGCCTTACTGTAGTCTAGGAATTGTTTTCTGGCTTCAT